TTGTTGTTTTACTATCAGCTTCTCCCACTGCATGAGGGGTAGGCACATCATTCAATGGATGTTTGTTGAGTTACTAAATATTGGAATAAATGAATGTGTGAATTACAACTGTGTCCTAATAGGTTCCAGCCCATAATGTCTTCCCTTCTCAAAATTCTGAGGTACAGAGCCATTCACGTGCCCAGGATGGCAGCTACCTTCAAATTTTTTGGTCTTGCTTCTCCTTATACTCAAAAACAGTTAGGGACCCCATAAAGCTTTTCTTTGTGTGTTTTTCATCTATCGGTGTTTACGTATTAGAAATTTGAAGCTGGAAATTTTTAAAAAAGCAATGCATTTAAAAATAATAACTTGATAGCATTCCTTATTTCTATGAATAATTAATATTTTCCCAAAAACAATTTAATGAAAATAGTGTTATTATATTTTTTGCAAATATTTTTCGTGTTTGTTTAATGTGATGCCGTTGAACCTTATTTGTCTGTATTTAATCTGGTGCAAGTTTGTTGTTTGGCCAAGGTAGGAAATCCAGTCTCATAAAGATATGTAGCAGGGGAAGCAGGAGGTATTTTAATAGCCTTTTCAGAGGATAGTGGCTATTTTGCTTTGATAGTATGCCAAGAGTGGACAACTGGTAATTTCTTAAAGGTTAATTGCAATGTGGAATCTGAAACCACATCAGTGGACATTTCTTCTCCCTTTCCCTGAAATCCATCAGTCTGTCCTGCACTTTGAGTGAGTATTTTACTGATTGAAATATAATTATCAAAGAGGTTACAAATGCATTGTGGTTAAACTTCTTTATTTTCCATTCAGTAAATCCCCATGATATGTTGGGGAAATAAGTGTTTCTGGATATTGTTCATCCAGCTGAATAGAATGTGAAAGGTGGAGCTGAAGTTGTCCATAATTAGCCACTATAGTTTATCACTTTTTATCTAATACAGACACTGAAACACAATCTCAGTGTGATAAAGTTATCCAGCTTTGTCTTGTATAATTTATCTTTTAAAATTAAGCCATCAGACTTGTTTTAACTGCTTTTTTTTTTTTTTAAGTTGATATGTAACACCCGTAAACTCAAATTAGGTTAGCATTGGTGCCAGGTTAGTTGAAAAATGCGAAGGGTATTAACTTCTCAGCTTCAGGGCACAAGATAATTGGATGAAGGAGGCTAGAAAAAGATGCTTCTCTTCTACAACATGACATAACATTCTGTGATCACCTAGAAGCATTAATATTAATTTTAAAGGTTTTATATGGAACTAGTAGCAAAACATTACATGATTTAAAAATACAGCCACAATCATAAACTATATTGCCTTCAGATTTGTTTTGTGGCTTTGTGATGTTAATCTTGTGGGATTAAACTGTCAAATACTACTGTTTTATTCTAAATTGTACAGTTTGAGAGCCCAAGAATAGTAAATATGCACAAGGAAAGGGCAGAAAATATATAACAGAATATTGACAATTGACACCTCTGGGTGATAGGGTATGAGATTTGTTTCTTTCTTCTTTTTAAACATTAATTATTACAAATATTTATGAGTTCTTTTGTGTGATGGTCTTAGAGAAGATGATAAAAAGCTCATTCAGTCTCTACCCAGTTTGATCCATCTTTTAGTAGGTCAAGTTTCACATTTCCCATAGTAAATGTGAAATATTTCTGTAATGAGAGGAATATTATAATCCAAAATGAACTGCAAAAGTTACTGACTCTTTTTTCTGTGTTTTTGTTTTTTGTTGGGGAGAGGGTTATGGACTTTGGTTGTTTTCCCTGTAAGTATAACTTGGGGTAAGTACAACTGGGTGATTCAGTTATTCTAACTCTCACCCAGGCAGTCTCTATGATGCACTTGACTCCAAATTAATTGAAACCTTCAAGTTGGAAAAGGAAGGCAGTCACCATCTTCCTGGGCTGTATTTTCAGTGCTGCTTTTGGATGGTGTGGATACTCTATCCAGAGGATCTCATCCACAGCTAAGAACCGTGAAAAGATTTGGTTTTGCACAGGGCAGACAGGCCACTGGTCTGCTGCTGGTTCTGTTTTGTGATTCATATAAGAGGGAAGATCAAAGTAGAGTGATGGAAGAACTTAAAAATTGGCTTATGTCAATGGCCTGGACAGCTTGGAAAGTGCACATCTATTCAGGACTCAGACAGAAACATCTGGAAATAAACTTGAAACTTGATAAAGGGAACTCATTTCTAAAAGCTACTGGAATTATTTCAGGATTGGGTTTAGGTTTAATTCTGGATGGGTAACTAGAAAAATGGGGCTGGTATAATAAGTAGTTCCTTGAGTGAATCATTGTTAGAACCAGTCTCTTTTCTATTTTGGTCAATATGTAATTCTCTAGGATTGCAGAGATACTTGGCTGTGTAGGACGTATCAGAAAAATTTCAATATGGCCAAGTGTGACCTAATATATTTGTGAGGAAAAAAAAATCATGACTAATTATAAAAGTGGCTCACTGACTAGTCATTCAAAATAATGGTATCAGGAGCCACCACCAGCATTTTGCAAAGGCCTTATGTGAGACTGGGTCTTCCTGAGCCAGACTTCCTTAAGGTTTTACCCAAGACATTATGAGGCTTAGTGAAAAATCAATATGGGGCCCTCCCTGGTGGCACAAAGGTAAAGCATAGCACAATGAAACTAGCTGCAACCTCTTCAGCAGGAGTTCAGTCCTCGGCCAGGGATGGCACAGCAGACCAACCTCTCCTGCCTTGCCCACTGCTTGTTCTGCTCTGTCTCTGACTCTGTCTCTGGTGAATCCTCTCACCACCTTGTACCTCATCTGTACCCCAGTTCTATATACATACATACATAAATAAATAAATAAATAAATAAATAAATAAATAAATATCGAGTGGAGGTTGAGATGATGCAGAGAAGGTATAAGTTTAATTTTCTATCTTGAACAACTGCATGAAGTTAGATTAAAAAAAAATCAGGACTCATTAGTTTAAAATGAGGAACAATATACAATCTTTGGTGTCATTTGAACATGGCCAGAAAAATGAGGGTGTGACTCCTTGAGGTTTGAGAAAGATTTTGAAGGCACATACAAGAAATTCTGTATCCAGCAGATAGTAAACTAGGGAATTCATTAGTCCCTGATGGCAGAGCACATAAAGGGTGTGGAGGAAAGGATCTTTATGATTTTTTTTAAAGATTTATTTATTTATTCATACAGAACTGGGGTACAGGACAGAGGCTCAGGGGTGGCGAGAGGCTTCACCAGAGACAGAGTGGGAAACAGAACAGGCAGATCGACGAAGTACACTGCTGAGGGTAGCAGTGGGCGGGTCAGGCGAGGTCTGCCACGCCATGTGGTCACCTCCGGGGCAGGCAGGGATCGAACTCATGCGGAAGCGGCTTTAGATTCTCAGTGCTGTGTTTTAACCCGCTGCGCCACCAGGGAGGGCCAAAAGGATCTTTATGATTTTTTATTGAGTGAGGCAAATTGAACAAAGAGAATTTTGATTATATATACCCATGGATGGTGCAGATTATGTGGTACCCAGCCTGAGAAAAAGCACGTGAGTGTATGTTTTCAAGGAGATGCTTCTGAAAATAGCTACCAAAGTTTAATTGTAGAAATGTCAGCTTAATGGCATTTCAGCCCTGGAGCAGATAGAAAGATGGAAAACTACTTTAATTAAAGAATCGGTTCAGCTGATATTTCTTCTTCATATTTTTAATGTGTTTTACCTTTTATAATAAATAACTTATTCAGGCCCTCCCTGGTGGCACAGCGGGTTGAAGCACAGCACTAAGAAGCTGGGGCCACTTCCGCAGGAGTTCGATCCCCGCTTGCCCTGGAGGTGACCAAATGGTGCGGCAGACCTCTCCTGGCCCGCCCGCTGCTCCCCTCAGCAGTGTACTTGTCAGTCTGCCGTTCTGTTCCCCGCTCTGTCTCTGGTGAATTCTCTCACTGCCTCTGCACCTCTGGCCTGTACCCTAGTTCTGTATGAATAAATAAATAAATCTTAAAAAAATAATAAAAATAACTTCTTCAGTTATGAATCAGAGAAGTAACACCTTCACATTTGCATTACAAATAAAAAGATGTGAAATAGGGGTAACTTAGTAAATTAGCATTAAATTATTAATTTTTTCTGGATTTGTGAATCACTGTGACTTATGTACAAATTATTTGAAGTATTTTTCTCAGTATTGTAACTTTTTAAAAGAAGGACTACTTGCCTATTGCTTCTCCTATGTCGGCTTAAATAGCTTTCCCAGAGGACATTAGATCTCTCAAGATGACATTTCTTGCGTTGTTTCATTCTTAACTAAAAAATACGCTGTTGGGTAGAATGACTCATCTCACTCACTTTGGTGCTCAATATGGCTTCTTGCTTTCATATCTTCCTTCCCAGTAGTCTTTTCTTCCTAACAGCCCGACTTTTAAAATGTATGTCGGAACTTTTTTCAAATGGGTTCAATGGTTTTCAAGCTCGTTCATAATAAAGTCTGGAGTTGTCTCAGGGACCTCAAGGCTCTTACACTCTCTTCTTTCCCCACCTGCTCTGGTCACATAGCTCTTCCTCACATCCTGTCCATGTCAGATACATTCCCAGGAAGGATCTGGTTTATTCTTTCCCCCAGGTATCTGCATTGCTTCTTCTTAGCTTCCTTTGGGGTCTGTTCAAATGTGACCCATCCAAAAGCTTATCCCCGATTTTGTTTCCTAAAATGTCATTCACTCCTTCCCTTCTTTGATCACTCTTTCGCCTTGTTCTCAGTTTCAGTTTTCTCCTCAGCATGTATAGCTCCCTCTCTCACACACAATGATAATTAATTTCTTCTATGAAAATGTGACTGTAAATGTAATCACAAAAGCATAACTTAATCCTTTTTCATTGCTGCATCCATCTTACCTGAGGGTAGTACCCAGCCTAGAGTAGATGCTCAATAAAGGTGTGTTGAATAAGTGAATTCCTTTCTAATTTCTCCAATTTGTGTTCTGACATTTTCACTTTGCAGTGAGGTTGTGACATTCAACCATTTCCTGGAAGCAGCTGCTGAGAAGGAGGTTCAAGGGAAAGCTCGGCTCCACGACTTTATTGAGAATCTGTTGCAACGGGTGGAGCTGGCCGAGAAGCAGTTAGAGTACTATCAGATCCAGCAGGATGCTGACCTCTGCCGGGACATCAGTGAGCACGTGGTAAGTCACCCCAGTCAGCCCCCAAGTGTGAGGTCCTTGAGTATGATGACTTGGGTCGAGGACAAAGGAGAAGGGAGCTAGAAAGTCACTTTCAGGGAGTCTGCAGACATCCTTTGAAAGTGTGGCCTGGGTTATGCTTGTTAAAGAAGTGATAGAGGTGAAACCAAGATACCTGGAATGAAGTCAAATCCTGGCTAACCTCTCCCCCTCTTTTCATCTTCTCACTCACACCATCTTGGATGAGAAGTATTTTTATATTTAGAGAATAACAGCTTGAATTATCCAGAGAAGTGATCTGTCCCAAATATGATATAAAATAGAAATGAAGTATTATCTGCTTTGGAGCTCTTCAAGGAATCCTATGAAAACTTGGACCCTTCACAGCAGAGCAAAAAACAACCATGTACATTTGTTTTGTGGTTTTTAAGAGGAAAACATGATTTGATGTCTAGGTTAAATGTTCTTTATATAGATTTTTATAAAGACTTAGGAAAATTCACCAGCATTAGTTATTTTTTTACATGCAAGTCTGTGTGTAGTTTCAGGACTTAAGAAACTCCAGAGGCCAAATGAGAAGTCACTCACATATGTGACTTAATAAATTTCTGTGGCCCCTTTAGAGGCTGTGGGGCTGGTACATGTAGCCACACTGGGGGAGCGGGGTGTCATATTAGCCCTTTATACCATTTCCTAGGTAGTAAAAGCAATGAAGCCAAAGAAAAGATTTTTGAAATCCCCAAATGTTTTATTTATGACATTTTCATTATTGATTAAAGTTGTATTAAGCTTGCCTTCTTTTAGGTTTTAAAATGATTCTTTTATACTTCACCCCAAATGGGTAAGGTCTATATAAGGAAAAGGAAAATGGGAAACGTATATGCTCAACAAAAGATTAACAGGTTAATAAGATGTTTAGTGTGAGCATTTTGGAAACTACAACTAAAAGAGAGAATGATATAAGTAATAAAAGACAGGCTTAAATGAAAGGCAGGTAGATAAAAGGAGGAAAACATAAAGGAGAAAGACAGGCGCTTATAAAGAAAGGAAATGGTAAATTCTTACTGTAAATATTTACTGTAATGATATATTAGCCTCAGAGCACCTCAGTAATACAAATGTCAGAACTTTAAGTCAGAAACAAAGTAAATGTGTTACATCTATGAGGTTTCAATGACTGTAGTCAAAGAAGTTTCAGCTACTTCACCAATTTATTATTTCTGGGCAAGTGTCTATGGTTTTTACATCCAACTGTCCTGAGAAGGACTCTTTACTCCATTGCTGGATTTCTCCATCTCTGTTTCTGTAGAAATCTGAGCCGGTCTAGTCATAACTAACTCTGATGTGAGGGGCATTTTCTGAACTCTTTCTACTACCTTTTCCATCTTGCCTTTTCTTCAGCAAGTGCTACAGCATAGAGTGAGATAAAAGGCCTGGCTTGCAGATTATTCTCACTGTACCTGACTGGAAGATAACTTGTCATCCCGGGTCTGTAATTATTCTGTGAAAGGAAGCAGTTGGGCTCAATGCTCTCAAAGGTCTTTGGGCTTCTTAGGTTCTTTGATCACCTCCTGACTTTGGTGGGTAGATACTATAATATTAAAATGGATGCCTAAAAATTTAAGTATTTAGGCTTGTAAGTAACCCAGAGCTAAGATATGGAGAAATGCTATGTTAGTCAAGAGGATTTAAAAAATTTTTATCTCTAAATATTTTGATAGTTATTGTCACATTGTCAGTGAAGAGGCTCTTAAAAAAAGATAATAATGGAAAGCAGAGAGGAAGTCCATTAGTTCTCTCATCTACTGAGATATTTCTGTGCTCCCTTCTCCTGCTCAGTTTATTTTTCTAGATTGAAAGTTGAGTGCCTTTTAAAAGATAAACCATTATTTCTTATCAAGGTGTATGTTGTGATCAAAAGTTGCACAGTATTTTAACTCTTCTAGATAGATGTAAATATGAAAAATTATATGTACGTTTGTATATATGCACAGCATGATATATGCATATAAGCCCACATATACATAAATATGTGTACATATGTGTATAAATGCATGGAGATACCATAGGAATCTAATAACTAACATTTATACCCTCTTTCTTCTAAATATGACATCACCTGCCTTCTTCAGACTCCCTACCTAGGGAAGATTAGAATAATTCAAATAAAATAAAGTCTGGTTAATATTGTAGCAGAACTTCCCACAAACATGGTGCCAAAAGTAAAGAAGAAAGTTAAACCAAAGCCAAAGCCAAAGCCAGAGATTTGAAGGACAAGCAGCTTATCCACATCCACTAGTCCAAGACACTGCTGCTCCAGAAGCAACTCAAATAGCCTCATTAGAGAGCCCCCAGCAGAAACAAGCTTGGCCACCTTGCCATCATCATGTTCCCCCTGACCACCAAGTCAGCCATGAAGAAGACAGAAGACAAAACACTTGTGTCTGTTGTGAATGTCAAGGCCAGTAAACATCAGGTCAATCAGGCTGTGAAGAACCTCTGTAACAATGACATGGTCAAAGTCAACCTCTGATCAGTCCTGAGGGAGAAAGAGAAGAAGGCATTAAGTCTGACTAGCTTCTGACTATGATGCTTCAGACATTGCTGGTAAAATTGGGAGAATGATGTTACACACACACACACACACACAAATAAAACTAAATAAAAATTTAAATACAGTTATGTAATTTTTTTTAAATGAGCTAATTAAACTGAGTCCATTGGGTCAATTCTAAATATAAATTTTGTCACCATTAAATAAAGGTTGTAGCAGGGAAGTTAGAAGTGAGAGCTATCAATGAGTAGAACTTGATCAGGTTATAGTGAAGTGAACTTCTAACTATACTGAAGGGAGACTCATTGCCTAAAGAGATCAAGGATGAGGTGTTTGATTTTAAAGGATTGAGCAGGTGTTGTTCTTCCTATTTTCATCCGTAGCCTCCTAAACATTATATTGGAACATGAGATACCACATTAAGGTCTACAAACCCTGAGGACATTTCTCCTTTTTGCTGCATTTTTTTTACCATAAATTAGAATATAGTATAGTACAGTATAGTATAACAACTTGATATAGCAATAATACATTAGGTAACATGTTTACATCTATATAATAAATTTATATATATATATTCACCTATGCAACTAAAAGTCATTTCTATTCTGGGCCCTAAGATATCAGTGGTTTTGGTGAAACAGGAGAACTTGGATGCTTTTAGCCTGAGAGGCTCAAGTCAGAGCATCAGTAGCTTACTTAGCCCAGCTTAGTGAAGGAGAGGAGCTCCGAGAAGCCCAGGCTTCTGGACAATCAGTGCCCCTCCCCTCCGGGCTCTACTGCTCCAAGGGAGAATCAGAGCATTCTTTCCACTGCTCACATCAGCTTCCTCCTCCAAAACTATCAGATGCTCTCTCCAGCCTGGCTTAGCTTTTATCATCTCAGATGAGACTGTTCTGTGCAACAAATCCTCTTCACCCCTTTTCTCTCTTCTGGTTACTTCCCTCTGCTCTCTCTTTGTCATTACACCTCCAGATACCAGAGAAAGTTCCAGATTAATGTTTAAATTATTTCTTTCTAAAGAGTCTTCTAGCGTTTAGATTTCTTTATGCTTTAGAAAAATTTCCTTTCCCCCCCTCAGTGCCTTTTCAGAAATAATGTTCCAGCATAAGTAGCTTTTCTTTAATTCCCTTGAGCATTTATGTTCTTATTCACCTAGCTGATTCCTAAAATAGAATGTGCTTATTCAGATATTTTGTCTTTATGCTCTGAAAAGTGCTGTCAAATTAGACACCAAGTGACCTAATAGTCCATCTGCCAAAACCACTCACAGAACAGCTCAAGTGGAAGGTCATGAAACAGCTTGGATAATCTTATTTTAAGTGCTGTCTTTATTTCCTGCAGGTTGCTAAATTAGGACTAACAGTAATTCATTTAACATTTATTGGGGATGCAGTTCCTACTGGGTGCTGAGGAAACTGCTATGAATTATATAGATGAAGTCTCTGCTCTCATTGGGGAGAGGGAGACAATAAACAAGTGAACAAATAACACAATACATTCATGTAGTTCTAACTATTATAAAGAAAAAAAGGAAGGTGTCATTACAGAGAGTCCATGTTCCCCTTGAAAGTCAGGAAAAGCTTGACCAGAGGAGATGGTGTGGGCACTGTGACCTGAATAGCAAGGATGCTGCTCTGTGAAAATTTGGAAGTGGAAAATTTCAGGCAAAGGAATAGGAAATGCAAGAGCCTTAAGGGAACAAACTTGGTACATTTGAATGGTAAGAGACAGTCAGAAAGTTGGGAAGGATCCAGATCTTGCTGGACCTTTGAGGTCACACAAGGAGTTTGGATCTCTTCCAGAGCACACAGGGAAGACACTGAAGATTTTTAAGCAGGAGGTGACCATGTTTTAGCAGAATCATGCAGGCTGTTCTTATATCTCTGCAAGGTACAAGAATGAGAGTTGGCAAGTGAGAAGGGATCACAGCTTGGAGAGAGAGGAGGTATTGAGAAGTAATGGGAAGAAGATATATTCTGGAAGTAGAATTGGCAAGACCAGTGGACTTTGCTAAAGGATTAGATGGTAAGGGGAAGAGAGGAATTAGCTTTGATCTGAATAATCATGTATATGGCACTGCTTTTTATTTATTTATATTTACTTTTAAAAAAGATTTCTTTATTGGGCTCTCCCTGGTGGCTCAGTGGTTAAAGTGCAGCACTGCAAACCAGCCGCAGCAGCTTCAGTGCCAGTTCAGTTCATGGCCCCGGAGATGATCCACATGATCCACATGGTGCGGCAGACCTCTCTTGACCCACCCACTGATCCCCTCAGCAGTGTACTTTGTCATTCTGCCTGTTTTGCCCTCCACTCTGTCTCTGGTGAATCCTCTCACCTTGCCTGTACCCTGGTTCTATATGCATAAATAAATCAATCTTAAAAAACAGATTTATTTACTTATGCATACAGAACTGGGTAACAGGCCAGAAGTGCAGGGATGGTGAGAGGATTCACCAGAGACAGAGTGGGGAGCAGAACAAGCAGATTGAAGAAGTACACTTCTGAGGGGAGCAGCGGGCATGATAGGAGAAGTCTGCCACGCCCTGTGGGTCACCTCCCTTGCCAGAGATAGAACTCATGCTGCTGTGGCTGTGGCTAGCTTCGAATTGCTATGCTTTAACCCGTTGTATCACCACTGGCTGCTTTTTTTTTTTTCAATTTTTTAAATAGATTTATTTATTTATGCATACAGAACTGGGGTACAGGTCAGAGGTGCAGGGGCAGTGAGAGGTTTTACCAATACAGAGTGGGGAGCAGAACAGGCTGACTGATGAAGTACACTGCTGAGGGGAACATTGGGCATGACAGGAGAGGCCTGCCGCGCCATGTGGTTCAACTCCGTTGTGGGGATTGAGCTCATGCTGAAGTGGCTTTAGCTTCTCAGTGCTGTGCTTTAACCTGCTGCACCACCATGGAGGGCCCAGGTGCTGCTTTTTACCCAAAGGGGAAGTTGGAGGAGAGCTGGTTGTCCAGTTTCCTCAAGCTCATATAAGCCTGAGATGCCATGTTTACATTTTAGAAGTCCTTACATTGACTTTCATTTCAAAGTTATTTATATTTTTCTGATGTGGAGCCTTGATCAAAGATCACTTGAGCTCCATTTCATGGGCTAGGAAAACATGGAAATAGATGGGCTGGGTGGGAAAAGCATGCCCATAGACCCAACAGTCAGAGGGAACAGTGGTCTCTGGTGTTCACAGATAGGAGAACATGTGCAGCTTTGTGTGTCTGTGATAACAACCTCCTCTCCACACCACGCTGTCCTCTATAGTATCACTGCAGAAATCCTGCTCTGGCCATAAATTCCTCTTAATGATTTGTGTTCACCTAAATAAAAGTGCTCTCTCTCTCTCTCTCTCTCTCTCTCTCTCGTTGTAGAGACACAGTGCAGAGTGCAGGCTTGTTTAGTCTTGTAACATGCTCACTTGGGCTTGAAGCCCAACCTTAACTCTACTTAACTTTTCTGCCTTAATTTCCAGATCTGTAAACATGGGGAAGATAAAACTTACCTCAGAGGCTTGTTTGGATAGCTAATTACAGCTGATACATGGCCAGTATATTATCCACAATGTGACATATAGACATGCACAATTTATGGTACCTATAGTTATGTATATATGACATTATGGCTTATCATAACCCACCTTTATGTATTTCCCTTTCTGTAAGATAGTCACATTTGCTCATCTCCTAGGTGTAAGGTCCCTCAGTGACATTCCTAGGTGTTACATTTGTAGTTTTGAAAATATTTTAGAAATCAGTGGCCTCTTTGAACATTTGATAGCATTGCTAGTCTCTTCCCCAGGAATGGACACACACACAAATGAATAAATGACTGAATAAACATATAGCCATATGTGTGTGTGTGTGTGTGTGTGTGTGTGTACATATAGATATATACATACACACATATATAAACTTACTTAATTTGCATAAAATTTGAATATGTTATGTATATATGCATTAAATCACCAAACTGTATGCTTACATATCTACATACAGTAAAGTGAGAAAAACTTTATTATGGCTCAGTAATAAGAAGGGAGAAATTCCATTTATTTATTTATTCATAGAGAATTGGGGTACAGGCCAGAGGTGCAGGAACAGTGAGAGGATTCACCAGAGTCAGAGTGGGGAGCAGAACAGGCAGACTGAGGAAGTACTCTGCTGAGGGAAGCAGGGGGCAAGACAGGAAAGTTAGGGTTGGACTTCAAGCCCAAGTGAGCACGTTCCAAGACTAAACAAGCCTGCACTCTGTGCAATGAGAGAGAGAGAGAGAGAGTGAGAGAGGGAGAGAGAGAGTGCTTTTATTTAGGTGAACACAAATCTTTAAGAGGAATTTATGTCCAGAGCAGGATTTCTGCGGTGATACTATAGAGGACAGCGTGGTGTGGAGAGGAGGTTGTTACCGCAGGCACACAGAGCTTCACATGCTCTCCTCTCTGTGAACACCAGACCACTGTTCCAGCTGATCGCTGGGGCTATGGACTCGCTCTTCCCACTGAGCCCATCTACTCTTATGTTTTCCCAGTCCACTCAAGGAGCTCAGCTGCTAAGTATAATGAAACGTAAGGAGAAAGACAAACACTGCCTGATAATCACTCATAAGAATACAAAGAAATGAAGCAAAAGAACAGACCAAACCAAAACAAGCCCTTCTAATATGACTGCAGAACTGAGGTCACCAACATGGTTTAGGGAACTAACCAGTGTTGTTGGTGGGCTTGAGATGGAAGGATACACTTGAAGAAGTGTGCTCTTAAAACATAGCGCTATAAATCAATATTAACTCAAAAAAGGAAAAATTATTAAAAAATCAAATGCAGATGAGACACCTGCAGGAACTGGGAAATGGTGATGGTTCGGGGGTTCCCAGCAATTTCTAGCCTGGGGGTTTGCCTGAGCCATCTGTTTCATCTTCTTTGTTTACTGTATAACCTCATGACTCTCATGCAAGGAAAGGTTTCTTATTCCTGTCTGCATTTACTAATCCCATGCCAAACCCACGCAGTGTGATAGGGTCAACAGGCTGACTTTGGATTGCAGCAACGTGCAGTGACAAGAATCTCATTTTGCCTTCTTGGGGACATGATCCACAGTGGCTTCTTTTAGAAATCATCTTTTTTTGCTTCTGACTAAAGCTCCGGCCTCAGACAGGACAACCAGGGAGTGACCCTGTGGTGCTGGGATTGACTTTTAAGATAACTTGAATAATCTCAAAATCTAAGAAGGACATGTGTTTTGGCTACATGTCTTCCTCCACATTTTCTTTGTTGTCATCATCATCTCTCAGGCCACTGATGTCGCACTCCCTTGAGTGAAGGCCACCTGAGGGAGGTCAAGAACTGCAGACTGGGAAAGCCTAGAAAATGATGCTGTCATCTGGATCCCAAAATTCATAATTTACCAATTTACTTGCAAGTGATATTTTAAGCCCAGCCACAAAAATACATGCAGCTATTTTATTAAAAGGGGAGAATAATGACAGATAAACTTCAAGAACAGTTAAGAGTTGGCCCACAATTCTCATCTTAGAAACAAAGTCTTTTAGGCAATAAATATTTCATTCCAGTTTTTCTGTTGGTAGAAACATTGTGCCCAGCTATAACCATCATAAATTAGCTGTAATAAGTCTGAATCCATCAAAAAAAAAATAGGAGTGTATCATTCTAGCTTTTAAAAAAATGTTTTTCACATGTTCTATTGGGGGATTCTTTTATTATTTGACAGTTTTGTGATCTGGTGAGACTGGCCTTTTTGGAATCTGTGAGCAGGAAGCCACCGACTCTACATGAATAGGCAGAGATGGGACTGAGGTATTCTTGTTCATCACACTGGATTGTGCCACGCCAGTGCTACCAACAGTCACTGGCTTCCTTAATGTGAATGAATTTTATAATTCAACCTTCAAGTGAAGTAATATTTCTTATTTGTTTTCCTCCAGCTTGCAGATATCTCCTCAAATAGGAAACCCAAATGCCTGTATGTATTTCTTTATGTACTTGGGCGTTTTGATGTTTGTAGAGTATGTTTTCCTGTTGCATGTGATATAAATGGATGTGACAGTCTTAGGTGAAAATTTGCTTGTTTGCATCCCTAGCTTTGTAAAATGTGAATGGGACTCTTAACTATGCTAATGGTCTATTAGTAATGGCAGAAATATCTACAGTCTTATTTAGTGTAATTTTCTCATACTGAGGTACAGTGTAGTCATAATAGCTCTATAGCACTATTAATGTAGCAGGTGTATCACACTGTATGCATATAAACTTACTCTATGAATCATAAACTTTGCAACAGCTACATACAGATTTGGTGAATACAGAGTTGTCACTGAAGGAGTTAGAGATACAGGTTCTGATCTCATTTCTGTAGACCAATTATCTATATTATCTTGGAGAGTCACTTAAATTTTCTGAGCCTCTTTTATCACTAGTACGTAGGAATGGTAATATCTCCTTAGGAATTTAGTATCATGAGATCATTTCATAAAGGCTGCAGGGAATTTTGGAAAAATCCCCAGTATGTATGATTTGTTCCACTAGCAGCATTTTCACCACTTTAGCATGCAGGAGTGACTGTATCTGGTGGTTGTAATTCTCTCAAGGCATTAAAAAAACTCTTTCTGTTCATCTTCCTCCTCCCACATGACTGTAGAAGCCGAGGGCACCCACATTCTGGGTATAGCCACCCTGATCTGAAGACCCATTTTCATCCAAAGGGAAGAAGCCACATGAAAAAAGCCAAGGATGACAGAACCAACATGCAGCCTGCAAAATCCATTTATGAACAGGCTGAGTCCCCCAGAGAACTCTGCAGAGCGCCGAAGAAAGGGGAACCTCTGGGATTTAGTCGGAAAGGCAATATCAGGCCCAAAATGGCCAAGAAAAAGCCAACGGCAATTGTCCACATCATCTGAAAGGGTGGGTGGCTCTGGGCTTCAGGAATGTTGCCGAGGGGCTGACACATCCTATAGACACATTAGGAGAGCAAAGGGCATGTAACACATGCGTTTCCTATCCATACAAGCTCCTGGATTAACCAGCATTTAATAAACAGGAATCTAGGTGAATCAGAATCTTATTTTTGGCTCCTTTTAGGTGCAAGAGGTGAATCACAAAAGGAAAGAAAAAAATGATAGCACCCTAGCCCAAAGTTTTAGTAAAATGAAGCATTAGCTTCTAAAGTAAGCAGCCAACTCTCTAGGAGTTTACACAGATGAGTTTCTGTGCAGTGGCTGTTAACTCCCAGGCCAAAGGTCACACAAGATATCAGGCATGTGAAAAAAAAAATGTGTACACACTGCTCTCCAAATTATGAGACAAGAAGTGGGAATGTAACATTTTGTTAATAGCAACAACATATAGATTTTGTTTTTCACCTTCCCCTCAATTAATTCAAAAGCCTCCAGAATAAGAATTCTTTGAGCATTCTGGTTAATCAAAAATTCAATGTTTGGGTTGCTTCAGGGACTCTTTTGATTACACTCTGGTTCTCATTTCCCTAGGTCTGTCTTCCAGTTTGGTTTAGGTTTTTGTTTCCTTCAAATATGTTTGTTTTGATTGTTCTGCATCTCCGCTCTCTTCTTTGACTTAGTATTCTGCACGTGAAGACAGTGCTGCCAGCCTTTCTCTCTCTTTTTTTTTTTTAATTTTTAAATATTATTTATTTATTCATACAGAACTGGGGTGCAGGCCAGAACCTCAGGGGCAATGAGAGGATTCACCAGAGACAGAGCTGGGAGCAGAACAGGCAAATCGATGAAGTACACTGCTGAGGGGAGCAGCGAGGCAAGGCAGGAAGGTCTGCCGTGCCATGTGGATCACCTTCCCAGTGGGGGATTGAACTCACACTGAAAGAGGCTGCTGCTCGCTTGCAGTGCTGCGCTCCAACCTGCTTTGCCACCAGGAAGGGCCCCAACCTTTATCTTAACAGCTCTTTCGATTGCTGCAGCTGGAGAGACCCACCCCCCCACCCTTCAGTGGGCACCGTCATCAGCTCCTGGTGAATGGCAAACACCTGGGGTGAGCACATGTAGGACACTGAGCCATCTTGGGGCCCCGGACACCTCACTCAGTCCTTCCCCAAGACTCCTGGGAGTGTCAGCAACCTCTGCTCACTATGGGCCTACTACCTTCTCCTTGGCTTAACTTCCACCTCCTGCTGCTTCGGTGTCCTCTTAGGATTAAAATACATGCTTTTTCTTTCAAGTGAATCAAGTATCTGAAGTGTTCATTGTGCACTGCTTTCTAAAGTAGTTTCTGAATAAACAGTGCATATAGATCCAGAATCTGAGCCTGTCCTCTCCTCCATCTTTAAAATAATCTTTGGTTCCACAGGGAACCCTGCTATATGATTTTCTTCAAAAATTAATTTCCATGTGACTTTTTTTTTAATTTAGCAAACTCCTCTGGTCTCCTGTAGAGTTCAAATGTGCTGACATCCTTCTGGAAGCCAGAATAATGATGTTCATAAGTATATACATATATGCATATATATAAAACATACAAAATATATGTCAAGTATATTAATAATTTATTTTTAAATACTCATGGAAAAGGTGTGTGTTTGTGGTGGATGGTTTTTTAACTATGTTCATGTAAATTAGTTTATGTGCACTGAATTCTCTTATTTTAAAAATTAAAACTATAACCTACTTAAGCTTAGTAGAATTATGAATATTATTCAATAAGCATCAGATTAGCAGTACATTAAAAGTAGGTAATAAAACGGTCACTTAAAATGCCAGTAAATTAAAAAGTGTAACTTATTATGATACAAACACTTTGAATCTATCCTAGTGAAAATGTTGAATTTTGAATCTCTACTCTGACTTTTGGCTCAAGGGTGTGGCCATTCATGTGACAGATAGGCAACTATCAAGTGTGAAAAAACATTGCTGTGAATATCACTGTTTAGGCTAACATTGTAAGAACTGGTATACTATCGTTATTATTTATTTGGAGACCTAACCTCCTTCAAAGCTATTATTGCTATTTATACCATGATAGCACTTTAACCTTCTACAAACTAAAAACTTGCCTTGTGAGTTGTATTGCATGCTCTTGTCCTGTAATAAGTATGGACAATGATGACAACTTGTTTTTAAATATGGTATAGCCAGGGTTGTTTTTTATTTTGTCATTTTATTTATTGTAACCTATATTTCCAATTTTCACTTACTATGCCTAAGGAGCATTACAGCTGTCTTTGATAGTGCTCTCCAGAAAGCGCCATAATATCTACTCAGTATCAGTTTAAGATTCATTATAATAAAAACAATTGTTTTAAAGTTCTAACTAAATTCTGACCCCCATATAAGGAACATACATATGTTGTGCTCCCTTAGAGACATCAATTTGCTCTCAGAACATGGGCGCTGGCTCATTCCAATTATGATCCCGCTTAAAGCCAGGCTGGAGCCTTGTGCTCTTTCCCATTTGGGTATTATTTTTAAATATTTACTTTTTTTTTTACAGGGGCAGTCAACCTTAGAGTTGTTTTTTGGAAGAAATTGCCAAAGTTTCTGGGAAAATATGTTCAAGGTTAAACTGAAGAATGGATCTAATTGTATTTGTTTTGTAAGGCAGAAATCTTCATTTGAAATGTTTTTTCTTTTTACAAAAACCAGGTTACAGATTTTTTAACTACAAAGTTCAGATTGATTAGATGCTGTTTTCCAGTATTCTGCAGGGTCATTTGTGTGGAAATTGTAATATTCTGTTCCCAGAATTTAAAAAAGTTTTTAGATTATGAAATATTATAACAATAAAGCTATATTTCTGACTAATGTGTTGGTATGTTGTCTAATTGACATCTTTCTGGGGAGCCAAGCATGCTAATCCATTAACAGTGAGCAAAGTGGTCCTTCTTAAATAACTTGTTCATTGTACATATAATCACCATGATCTTGAACCTGTAAATTTTCTTGAGAACTTTGCTTGATCATTTTTATTGATCATAATGCCTATATCTAAAAGTTCTTTTTACATGTTTACACTAAGCAGTCCTCATTAAGTGTTCATTTCTCCCAATTCTTCTACAATTATGAATAATTTTCCTACACCATATTTTTAAATTTGTCAATTCTTAACAAAAACCATGAACTTATCTCACACTACACATCCTTGGTATTTACAAGTACCAGAGAATGTTCAGGATACATAACGCGAAAAGCATGTCTTTAGAAGAATTATTTAGCCATTGGTCTTTGGCGAGCCATGCAATTAGGAAAATTTAGGGGGCTCTTTTTGTTTGAAAACTGCTAAAGCTGTTAGAGACATGATCTCAGTCTGTTCTTTTGTTTATTCGAATTAATGTTAATGGGTTCATCAGGTCGTTGTGTTCTTGAGAAATAACATTGACATTTTGAACTATCTTTGAGCATTAGAAAACATCAACAAAACCCAGAATCTTTATTATGTTCAGTCTGGACCCTTGAAAAGTGACTGTTTTAGATGCAGGATCTCAAAGACAAGCCCTACCATCATTTCAAATATTTAATTGATGGAAACTTTAGAAATTGATTCTTTTTGTGAAACTAAAGTGATGAAATCTTTTCTCTTCTCTCTCTCTCTCTTTTTTTAATTTTGCCCATTTTCTGTGTTGGTAAAAAAGTGCACATCTGAAATTTTCATCTAAGAAAGGGTTCTTCAACAGATAGCCCTGTGAAGTATTTATACTTTTACTACAAGACAGAAATTCCAGCTATATTCCAAGACAGAAATGAGTTTTGCCTTTAGAGGGACCTCATATACAGGCAAACTCAGCTCTCCTGTCCAATTTGTAATTGGAACACTGGTAAATTTTATAGATGTGGAGGAAAGGGATGAGGGCTTTGATGAATGATAATGGGATGCTGAAAAAGGATTTTGGTACCCTATGAGGAGACATAGTTGCTGTTCTCAAATATCTGAAGTGCTTATTTTGTGTGGTTGCAAAGACATTACAAAAATCAGCAAGTAAAAGTTCTACGAAAGAAGATATCAAGTCAATGAAGGAAAGATTATTTCAGCTCAACACTGAATATGTCTCCTTGTTGGAAAGTAGCTCCCAGTCTCTGGGCTGCTAATTCGTTTATGGTAAATGAGACTCTACTTTGAGTAGAAAATCAGATTGCATTCCTCTAAGAATACTTGCAGCCCTAGGATTTTGTCATATCTGCTGATATTACATTATTTTAAATAGTGGCCATGTAAAACAGTATTGACATGGCAAATTACTTTTGGAGATTTTATGTCTCTGACTTAAACTAAAAGTTTTCTACTTGTATCCAGACTTATCCTCAGAATGCTTTTGAATGGATAGGAATGAGGAGTATCATTTTCTTCCCTTAACAGGTGCAGAAACAGCAGTTGGGGAAATGGGAGCTGTTCACCTGGCACCGCCTCATTCAGGATCAGGTGCTTCTTGGGAAGCATCTCACCTCATTGAAAGTAGTTGTAGTGTTTAAAGAGAAGGTGCATTTTTGTTACAACATGGCTCCTGAATGCAAGCCAAGTACTTCATCTGGCATTCTACTGGGTCATGAGCAATGCTTTCCAGCACTGGGGGAGAAATTGGCAATGATGCACCTGGGGGTGGTGAGTGATGTGTCAGGCTCCAATATTGTACCTTCCTTCAGCATTTTTCAGGTAGTTCTGATTATACTAACTTCTGCTTTTCTACTGACAATGCTTAATCATGTGGCTTCACCACGTTTGACAATGAAGGTGGAGCTTATGCATGATTGGAGAGTTGCCCCAGACCATTCCTTTATGACAGAGAAGGAGTGAGAACTAGAATATTGTTCTCCTCAATCCCAACCAATGCTCTTTCCAGCACATTTTACTGGTTTTTGACAAGAATCCCAGAAAAGGGTGTTCTAGGTATATTTGTTGATATAACAATATTTCTTAATGTTCTAAAATTCGGTGAGAATGATTCAGTGGGCTTGGCTTGCCAAAGAGGGGCAAGTAGCTCTATTTATAGGAAGAAAATACAGGTCAATGGAGTACTCACCTTATAATGATCCTTCTAGTTAATGTGAGGATCATACAGATGGGTTGGTCAGTACTTGTCATTTTGAAACTCTCCTTTTGCCTGAAGCTATGGTACGATAGGATATAAATTGCAGGCAGAATAATGGCTTCCCCAAAATGCCTATATCTTAATCCCCAAAACCAGATGTGCATTTTAGGTTAAATCGTAAAAGGTAGTTCAGGTTGGACATGGAGTTAAGTTTACCAGCTTAGTTTAAAATTAAGAAATTAGCCTAGTTTTTCTGGGTGTGTCTAATGTAATCCCAAGAGATTTTAAGTGTAATGAGGACTGTCAGTGTCAGAGTGATATGATAAAGACACAACATGTCATTGTTGGCTTTGAAGGAATAAGCCAAAGAATGTTGGCAGCCTCTACAAGCTGGTAAGGGCATGGAAATTATTGTCTCAGAGTCTCCAGAAAGGAATGTAGCCCTACTGATAGGATTTTAACCAAGTAAACCCTATTTAAAACTTTGAAACTATATTTTTGAAAGATAACAAATACATGTTAAAGTCACTACACTTGTAGTAGCTTGTTACATCAGCTGTTGTTGCATACTAATACATGAACTAATCACATTTGACATACAAATAGATTATTCTTCAACAGTGGTGTAGTTGAAAGAGTGTTGGTATTGGCTGCCTGCTTTAAAACATATGTACTGTGACTGTGGGTCCAGTTTCCACACCTGGAAAATGG